TTAGTTTGAAGGAATTATGGAAGAGTCACTTCAATATAGCAGATGCTGTGTTTTTAATTGAGTCAGCCTGGAAAGAGGTTACTATGAGGTGTCTTTGTGCTGCTTGGAGGCCATTGTGGCCTGAATGTGTGCTTCAAAGAGACTTTGAAGGCTTCGAAGAGTTAGAAGAAGAGGCTGTTGTTCATGAAATTGTGTCTCTGGGCAATTCCATGGGCCTGGAAGTGGATGATGATGATGTTGAGGAGTTGGTGGAAGAGCACAGTAAGGAGCTGTCCACTGAGGAGCTGCTTGAGCTTCACAAAGAAGAATATGAGACACTGAAGCGGAGCTTAACTTCTGAGGAGACAGGGGAGGAGGAGGATAAGGAGGAAAGCCGCATCATTCCAGCCAAAGATCTCAAGGATGCGTTCTTTTGCTGGAGCAAACTGTCTAAGCTTGCTGAGGATTATCATCCTGATTTTTGGTTCTGTGCAAAAGGCCATCAGTGTGTTTAATGACAATGTTATGAACTACTTTTGGAAGGTCCAGAAATCAAGGTTGAAGCAGCCAACCCTGGATTCCTTCTTTAAAAAAGTAAAAGAATCTACAGACAAAGTGCCTGTAAGACAGTCACCAAAGAGGGCTAGGAAGGATGACTCCTCTCCTTCCACCTCTTCTCCATAATTCTCTCCTCCCTCCTCCCCCTCCCCCTCCTGTCCTGCATGCTGAACAACACTAAGGTAAGATAAAGTACCGTATTATTTACATTTTCCACAGAATTTTTTCAGTGTTAAGTGATTGTATTTGGGGGCCTGGAACGGATTAATTCTATAACGAACGAATGCTATCACGAACGAGGTTCTAGAACCAATTAGATTCGTTATAGCATACCCCACTGTACGACCACCAGCACATACGACCGCCGCAGTCGGTACCAAAATTTTTTCAAATGACGCGCATATTTTCTAGGACCGAAACGTTTCGGTCCAGTACGAGAGCGTCGCGTGGGCTGGGTCGCCTCATGGTTACAGCATCCATGCTGTAGAGCGCTCAGTTGGTGTTTGGCTGTCGTTGTTGTCGGTAGTGATCGCGCTGTGTACTGACAATATTTTTGTTTCTAATTCACTTTAGAATGACTGGCAAGATAAGAAGTGAGAGTTCTGGTGGTGCTCAGAAGAAAAGGAGACAGTCAATTACTTTTGAGATGAAAATGAAGATGATAATGCAACATGAAAATAGAAAAACAGTGGCAACCATTTCATGCGACCTAGGCTTCTCTCACTCGACAATATCGACAATTATGAAGGACAGGGAACGAATTCGTGAGGTAGTGAAAGGATCAGCACCTATAAAGGGAACAATAATAATGAAAAAAAGACAAGGTCCTATTCATGAGATGGAAAAATTACTTGTGATATGGATGGAAGATCAGATACAAAAGCGTGTACCCTTAAGCCTTCTAACCCTACAGGCTAAGGCAAGAAGCCTTTTCGAAAGCCTGAAGGAGCAGGCAGGAGATGAGTGCAACCAAACCTTCACAGCAAGTCATGGGTGGTTCCAAAGGTTTAAGAACCACTACAATTTGCACAGTGTAAAGGTAAGTGGAGAGGCAGCAAGTGCTGATGTGGGTGCTGCCAAAGCTTTTAAGGAGGAGCCAGATCGTGTCATCGTGGAGGGAAATTATTTGCCAGAGCAAATATTTAATGTGGATAAAACTGGCTTATTCTGGAAGCGCATGCCAGAACGAACATACATCCACAAAGAGGAGAAAACCATGCCGGGATTTAAGGAATTCAAGGACCGAATTACACTTCTGTTGGGGGAGAATGTAGCTGGTTTCAAGATAAAGCCCTTCATGATCTATCATTCAGAGAACCCAATGGCTTTTACACATGTCATCAAGCACACACTGCCAGTGTTTTATTGCAGTAGCAAGAAAGCATGGATGACCCTAGTACTGTTTGAGGATTGGTTCCTGACTTGTTTCATTCTACAAGCAAAGGAGTACGAGGTCTGTCCAAAAAGAAACCAAACTTTTTAAAAAATCAATTTATTGCTTTACTTACACTTTAATCAGACTTGTCTCCTTCAAAGTACTCCCCTCCAGTGTTAATACACCGCTCCCAACGTTTTTTTCCAGTTCTAGAACGCGTCCTGGAATGCATTTTGAGGGATGGTGTGCAGGTCTCGTAGCGAATTTTCTTCTATCTCTTCTATCATTTGAAATCGGCGACCTTTCAGGGTGGATTTCAACTTTGGGAACAAAATAAAGTCCGCAGGGGCCAATTCCAGAGAATAGGGCGGCTGGGGGACGATAGTTGTCTCGTGCTTCGCCAAAAAAATCACGAATAAGGAGCGACACTTGAGCAGGTGCATTGTCATGGTGCAGCATCCAGGTCTTGTTTGTCCACGCCTCAGGCCTCTTCCTTCGCACTGCCTCCCTCAAATGCTTCAGGACCTCCAAGTAAAACTCTTTGTTGATTGTCTGACCACGTGGAACAAACTCATGATGAACAACGCCCTTCCAATCATAAGACGATCAACATCACCTCCACATTTGAGCGACTCTGACGTCCAGATTCGGCATCGTCTTCAGTGGATGTTCTTCCCCTTTTGAAACGCTGGTACCACACGTGACATTGAGTACGGCTCAAACAATCCTCCCCATAAGCCTGTTACAACATTTGAAAAGTCTCCTTAAAAGTTTTTTCCAATTTGAAACAGAATTTCATGCAAACACGTTGCTCTCTTCAAGATCCTTCATTGTTCAATTTGCAACAAATCGCCAAGTGCACTAAACACACCTTCACTCTAGCACGCGTAGCTCGATGACTAATTGACGTGGCGTGATACGACTAGTGTGACTAAAAGTCAAGGTCACCGCTACACAGTGCTCCCGTCGTGAGCACGCTGCGCCGGCTCGTTGGCATGCTATTTAAAATGTTTGGTTTCTTTTTGGACAGACCTCGTATTGCCTGCAACAAGGGATTGCATTCAAGATTTTATTAATTTGGGATAATGCTCCAGGACACCCACCACACCTGGATGACGTGCACCCTGATGTTAAGGTAGTCTACATTCCACCTAACATTACCTCTATCATCCAACCCATGGATCAAGGTGCTATTGCTCCTTTTAAAGCGAATTATTTACGTACAACCTTCGCTCAGGCTGTTGTTGCTACTGAAGGTGAGAAAACACTCAAGAGAGTTTTGGAAGGACAACACTATTTTGAAATGCATAAAGACCATAGATGCAACATGGGATGAGGTTACAGGTCAGTGCATGAATGGAATATGGAAGAAAGTCCTGAAAAGATATGTGAACAGTTTCAAAGGATTTAATGAAGATGAAGTAATTTCTGAGATTAGTAAAATGATAGTGGAGTTGGGTAAACAGCTGGAGTTAGAAATTGATAATGAAGATGGTGACCAGTTGGTTGAAAGTGTAGCAGAAGAGCTAAGTAACGAGGATCTTAATGAACTGGATGCACAGAAAATTGCAGAGGAAGAAGAGGGTCTAAATGTAGAAGAAGAACCTGCACCCCTCAAAAAATTTTCAGTGAAACAAATGGCAGAGGCATTTGCTACTATTAATAAGGGGATGCAAATGTTTGAAGGAATGGATCAAAATGTTAAGCATTTTGCAAAAGTTGACAGAATGATCCAAGATGCACTTGCTTGCTACAGGGAAATTTACAATGAAAAGAAAAGGCAAACTGTGCAGTCTAAAAAGGACATATATTTTAAGAAGTCCCCCATTGCTGTCTCCTCATGCCCCACTAGTGCTGCCTCTTCACTCCCTAAAGATGATCCAATACCTTCAACAAGCAAGTATCCCCTGTATGTTAACCTGTCTGAGAAAACGACATTGATGACCCACCCAGCCCTGTTTCCTCCTCTGCTTCATCCAATTAATGTAGTCTCCATGTTTAATTAAAAAATTATGGGGGCCCCGTGTGCATTCAGCTGACTACATTAAAGGTAAGTGCACAGTCACACTGTATCCATTCTTCATTACTAATTACTTTTACTGTACTGTATTTCATTTTAGATTTTCTATGTATTATTTTTTGCATTTTCGACTTATGACCAATTCGACTTACGACCTGGATTTGGATCCCTAACCCCGTTGTAAGTCAGGGAGAGACTGCATACACAACACAGGTAAAAGAAATAATTGTTCTAAGGGAAAACACATTAAGGGAATATACATTTCCTTGCACACGAGTAAAAATATCCCACCCCCCCTTGTCAGCAAATGATATTCGCGGATTTGGCTATTCACGGCCATTTTGAGACCCAAACCCCCGCAAATTTTAAGGGCCTGCTGTACTCTTATAACGAGGACCTCCTGTATTTATCATTAAAAAACTATTCAACATTAAAAAAATATATTAAACCTTACAAAATATTGGTAATTCTTGTTTATAATTATAAAACTACTGTAGATGTAAAAATAGTTATCACAGAATGATGATCCTCACAATTCTATAGTCTGTTCGCTCAAAGCTAGCAACTGAGGTGAAATGCTAGTGAAATGCTCTGGTAACAAATATCTTGATGAGAACAAGAAAAAGATCACAGAATTTCCGTGACATCTTCCACCGTGCTGCGTGACATCACACAGTACTGCCCCAGAACGTGGTCATCACATTCATGATCTCTTTATGAAACAGGTATTTTTATTACCAGAGCACTTCACTAGCTAATTCTTGCTTCCCCTAGTGCAAAAATTTTGAGAAATCAACAAAGTTATTATCCTTAAAAATATCAGAACATATAAACAGTGGATCAAACACTGAAGAACTGTAGTGATTCTTCGGGTATTTGTCTGCCAACCAATCAACTAACTTGTTACAAACTGACCCTAGATCTCAGTTGCAAGCTTTGAGAGAACAGATTTTAGTAACACAGCACCTACATAAGAATGCTGATATGTGTAGAAAGCTGTCTAGATATGTTACTGATGCATGAGGACAACAAGCACCTATGGACACATCTCTCATGACTATACTGTACCTTTAAAATTCCCCGGTGAGAGAGTAATAGATTGGAGGTCTTGAGATCTCTGTGAAGGATCCAGTTGTCGTGAAGGTGATGAACGGCTCGCAGGAGTTGCCTCATAAGTGTCTTCACTTCCCCGATGGTGAACATCTGCTTCTTTTGCCTCATTGTCTCCATCAGACTCTTGAGGTCGTGCTCCACGTAGTCCATCACTATGTATATTTTGTCCATGTTGCTCCCGACCACAATCTCTCGTACCGTCACTATGTTTTCGTGTTGTCCCTGGATATGAAGAGCAAAATAAAAGAAACAAATAGCTGTAATACAAAAACATTTTCTCTTAATTGAAGCGCCTACTCCATGATACAGCTACTGATAGGGGTATGTAGTGTGTAAAAATGGTTGACTATTAATTACCGACTACATTACTTGTGGGGTAAGAAATGTATTTTCCCATAGATCCATCCAGATATCTGCTTTCTAAATCTCAACAATACAAACTCACTACACTACAGTATATAGTGGTCCCTCGGTTAATGAACACAATTCGTTCCAGAGGGTTGTTAGTTAACTGAAAATTTTGTTAACCGAATCCATTGTTTCAATGGGATATTGGGTAATTGGTTCCAGGTCACCGAAAAGTACATACTACAAAGTAAAAAAAAAAAAAATGCAGTAAAGTACACTTACCTTGAGGTGTGTATGTAGAAGGTTCCTGGTTGATGATGATAATGGGAATTAGAAGTGGGGGTGGAGGAAAAGGAAGAAGAGAAGGAAATGGGGATGGAGGAGAAATCACCTTTCAGGGGACCCATGCTTGATGCCGTCAATTCACCAATAAAATTTAAGTTCACTAGGTGTGATTCAAGATTATTTTATTTAAATCAACACCACACTGTGCTATATATTATCAATATGTTAACTAAATTTCAAAATGACCAATAATTTCAATGAAAAATGCAAAAATATTCAAGACACCAACAAAATAGATGCTAACTCCACTGTCAACAAAGCCAAACTGAAGCCTTGTGGCTGAGTCAAACTGCTGATGGGTGCACAAAAAACTAGTTCCCTGTACTGCATATATTATCAATATGTTAAATAAATGTTAAAATGACTAATAATTTTAATATAAAAAATGCAATAATATTAAAGAGCACAACTTTTTTGAAATTTACTCCACTGGAAACGAATGTAAACATAGAACAGATTACTGAATTAGCAGACTAGCCCATCAGCTGATGCTCACAACAAAACATGATATTCCTAAGGATTTGGTTGATCAAATTTTTTTCGTTAACCGAATTGAAGATTCTTATGGAAGGTAAATCGTTAACCGAAATTTCATGAACCGAACCGTTCATTAACCGAGGGACCACCGTCCACCGTATTAGAAGCTGATCCCAACACGACTGCTGCACATGTCCAACCTTAAGCAAAGTGTTGACTTCTCTCAGGGATGTGATGGGGAAGCCTTCCTTCTCTTTCTCCATTTTAAGTCTCTTGAGGGCAACAATCTGGTTGGTTGCCTTCTCCCTAGCTCTGTACACAACACCATATGTTCCTTCTTCAATCCTACAAGCAAAAGTAACAATGCCTCAAACTTATCAATAACAGATGAAACAACATTTATTCTCTAAAGATATTTTTTTTCTTTTCCGACACCTTCAAGTAATATAATACGGATAATTATCTGTGAATAAAATTTCTCACAGCTCCAAAATTTATAGAATAATTAAACATCAAGATTCAGCAGTTCCATCTAATTACTTCAAAATCTATCAACAATATGGGATCATGTGAGGGTTAGCTTTGCATCAAGTTGGTTTATCAATAAGGTGAAACAATCTTCACACGACCCAAAATATAAACTCAAGCTGTATAAATATATTGCACCATACAGTTATCTTACAATACAGTATCTTCACAAACTTGTACTCACCTGTTGAGACACTCGAACTCATCAACAGAACGACAGCCCATAATGGCAGGGTAGTAGGCAGGTAAGTCATCCTTCAGCTCAAGTGGAGACTCAGGTGATGAGTCTGGTAGGTAGTTGGCTTCCTCACGGTCTGACCGACAATCCTCAACTCTGTGTATACATGAGACAAACAAAACTTACTCACATTAGAGCTAGACCCACACATATACAGTAGTACCCCGCTTAACGCGGTCAATAAAACCCACAGGGTACCGTGTTAAGTGAAAACCGCGCTACGTGAACAACAGAACATATGGGATTAATTCCAATAGAAACTGGCCCGACCCCCAAACTCCACTTTTTGACGACACATAACTATGTTGTAGTAAAAATTTTATCTTAACCTTATGATGGTATGAAAAAACAAGTAATATAGAAGAGGTTAGGTTAGGTTAGGAAAAATAAAGGTTAAGTTAGGAAAACTAAAAATTATGTTGAACACTTACGTTGGTAGAAGAGATGGGTCGGCGTACGGGGATGGAGGCTGGTTCCGAGGCAGAGGGCAGGCTACTGGCCCTCAGGTGAGTCACCATCACTGTCACCCACACTTGTTATGGCCTCCCTGACAAATCCCTCAAAGTCATCTTCACTGTCTCTACCTCTGTCACTATCACTGGCTTGGGCTGGCTGTGGTGGGTTGCGGGCGAAGAACTCGGTTATGCTTTTTTGACGGCTGGTGTTTATGTTGTCTTGATACACCGTGATGTACGGCTCCATAGCCTGCACCAGCCGGGTATGGAAAACTTCATAGCGGTCATTGTCGCGGGAAAGGAAGGACTTCATTTTCTCTGCACACTTCATGGCACCCTTAATATCACTATGAGTTAAACTGTGTTCTTCGGAGAATGACGCACCTTCTTCCTCCTCTTCACTGATGTGATCTTCTTCCAACATCTCGTCGGCAGTCTATTCAGGATCTCTGATCACCTCCAGGATGTCTTCGTTGGTGTTCTCGGAGAAGCCTTCAGCTGTAATATTGAGCGCAGCTTCTCTGGCAAGGTCCACTGCTGCTGCAACAGTCTGAACCTCACCAGTCACAGGTTCACTCCTCCTTTCACCTGGTATGCCATGCAACACATGTCTCCATGCGTGACGAATTGTAGCAATAGACAGCTGATCCCATGTCTCCACCAAGAAGTCTACAGCTTGTTTGACGTTAAACTTCTTCCAAAATTGTTTGACGAGAACTTCTTGAGTCGCCACCTCTTGTTCCTTGTCCTCGTCGCTTTTACTCTCGCTGTCGGTGTCACCCAGCTTACGCAACTCATCCTTGGTGTTGGTACAGTCGCTCAGGAGCTTGAACTTCTTTGCAGAGTACGCAGCTTTCACATTGCAGATCAACTCCTGGTCCATGGGCTGGATTAATGACGTAGTGTTGGGAGGAAGGAAGACTACTTTTACGTTGGGGTGACGATCCATAAGTAGGGGCGAGTGTCCAGGTGCGTTGTCAAGGAGCAACAAAATGTTGAATGGAACATTCTGTTGCTCGCATAATTTCTTCACGTCAGGAACAAAACAGTCGTCAAACCAGAAGAGGGACAGAGAAGAGGACATCCACGCCTTACGTGCGGTTAGCCAGTGGACATTAAGCTTGTTCATGTCCATATTCTTGTAGGCGTGCGGCTTGCGGGCTGTGTGAATCACCGATAACTTTGGTTTACAGGTACCGGAGGCATTGGTGGTAAACAGGACGGTGATGCGTTCCTTCTGCATCTTCCGGCCCCGAATCTTGCTGGCATTCTTTACAACAAAGGTCTTGGATGGTAGCTTTTTCCAGAAAAGACCAGATTCGTCCATGTTAAACACCTGGTCGTCGGTGTACTGTCCTTCCTCCATAATCTCATGTAAGAACGGAGGAAAATCACTCGCCGCCACACGGTCAGCACTCGCTTCCTCACCACCAATGTTGATGTTGGTGATCTTGTTCCTCTTCTTAAACCTATGCAGCCAACCAGAGGAAGCATTGAAGGGTTTGGGCTCTGCAATTCCCAGCTTATGTGACACTGCTCACGTGCGTACTCCTGCACTGAGCGCGTGTCCACCGCCATGTTGCGTCGCGCCTGACGAATCAAATAACTCACCAGCAAAGTTTCCACTTTTGCCAGCACCCTGTTCTGGCAATACCTGATCGTTGAAGCACCTGCAGACTTTGTGATTTTCATGTGCTCTTTGATCTTGGCTGCATCCTTCTTGATAGTGCGAATTGTAGATTCGTTGACGCCCTGCTGGCGCGCGAGATCAACTTGCCGTGTTCCTTTCTCCAAATCTTGAATGATCTGGTACTTCACTTCGTAGCTTAGACCACGGCGTGTCTTCTTGGGCTTAGGGTGGCTGGGTCCAGGTAAGGAAAGGTCTCTCTCTGGTGGCGGTGGCTGGGTCCAGGTAAGGAAAGGTCTCTCTCTGGTGGCGGTGGTGGTCCGGCGGAAGCCATTTCACAGAACAATGGGTTCACGTATACACGGAGCGGCCTGGAGGGATGAAACTGCCGCGGCTAGGTCAAGCGTCGTCTTTCCTCCCTCCCTCCCTCCCCCGGGTGGACACGTCATAATACTTTAAGCCAATTACAGCTAGCAGCAGAGGGGGGTAGGGATGCATGGCCAATCACAGTCCGATACGTCATATGACGTCAGTGATAACGCAACAAAGACACACACTGCGCAACCTTACCGCGCGGCTTGCCCAAGCGGAGGGAGGAGGCGGGTGGGGCGAATCTAAAAATAGTGTCTCGAGCCGGACACTCACAGCATATACGTGGAAAAAACCCGCGTTAAGTTAAAGTTCGACTCTGGCGAGGCACCGCGTATACAGTAAAACGCGCTAAGCGAAACCGCGTTAAGCGGGGTAATACTGTACAACATAAATAAAACACTCACAAGATATTTGGTGAATTTCAAGTTACTGTACAATAATTTCATCCACACTTTATGACCCTCCTTGTTTCTTACCAATAAGAGTTAGTCTTAAAAATCAGTACAACTCATTATCTTAGGGATGAATAATAAGATAATACAGTCGACCCTCGTTAATTCGGACCCCTTTAATCCGGATTTCAGATAAATCGGACGAAATCTGAACTGTCCATTAGGGTGTGTCAATTTTGTCAACATGTTAAACATCAAATTTGGTAGTCAAAATATTGTGCCTCTTTATGTCTAAACTTGAGATTAGCAAACAAAAATGAATTGAAATAACCCTCACCTACATCAATTATACCTTAAAGTTTCAAATATCAGTATTTCAACAAATTAATGAGACTTGATTAGAATTATTCACTTGATATTAACTAATCTCATGTAAGCATATGGATTATGGAGTATTTTATGGTTCTATAGCTTGTGTACAATATGCATGTCAGAACATGAACAGGCTCTCCGTGTGGGACAGTTTAATTATTGTTTTGACTTGTACCAAGCGTGAGGATAAGGCGCCCGGCTCACTCTCCTTCTAGATATCATAGACGGTGGTTTGCTCTCATTGCACTTGCACCTACTCTACCAGACGAATTCTACATTTTAATTATTGTAAGTAGGGCATATTGATTGTCGCAGTTACTTATATCATTGTATAAAACATTATGTTCTAAGAAATTATTATGTTATTTCTGTTACAGCATTTTTGATAAACAAATTGATATTTTTTGAAACAACAATTGAATTATGAAACATTGAAATATTTTTCTATTTGTCAGATAGTGTGAAGATGTCAAAATTGAAGACAAGAAGTCAGTTGTCAACCCACTTGAGCCTGCTAGTTGGTAAAGGGAAGGAGCTTCCTGTATCAGAACTTCCAACAGTGAGAGACATGCTAAGATTAGGGTTACTCCTTCGAGAAAAAAATGCAAAGGACAGAAGGAACTATACAGATAAAGAACTCATAAATGACATGATAGTCCCTCTTCTGCATCAATGGACAAAAGCTAATGCACTATTCAAACCACCTGTGATTAATCAGTGTCGAACTATTGAGCTAAAACTAACGAAATTATGGCACAAAGCAGTTGAAACATCACTTGGTAAAGGAAACTTGGCCAGGAAAAATGAATTTCTGCACACACTTGATACTCTGTTTGACATTTTGACCTGCAAGTGCTCCATACAATTATGTTCTGAATCCAACTGTTCTCACTCAGGTAAGAGAGAAAATAATTCCCACATTGATTGTGGTTGTCCTCGTGAAAAGAAGATCCCTGTTTTAGAGCTTGAATTTATAAAGGCACAGAGGACAAAGGCAGAAGGCCAAGGAAGTATGCAAATGGGTTCAATAGATTATTCAGAAACAAAGAAGCAGATTGCTAATGCCAAGAAGAGAGAACAAATCCGAGAGAGGGAACAAAAGAAGAAAATGAAGAGTGAAGAAGCCATCCAAAGAGAGGAAGAGCTGTGTCAAGATGTTTATCACTTCTTTGATAGTTCTTCTGATGAACAGGAAGCAACATCAGATGATAGTTCCAAAGAGCCATCTGAACCTTTACCAAAGAAAATGAAATACAACACAAGAAATATTTCAAACATTGCTTTAGCTAGTATTCGCCACCATGCTGGACTTCGTGAGGCTGCAGAAATTGCAACTGCCGCTTGGATAGATGCAGGCCTCATCAGCCGAGAGGATGTATCTTTGGTGATAGATCATAATAAAATTAGAAGAGCACAAGAAAAAATAATGAAGGAAATATCTGATCAGCATGAAAAAGATTTAAGCGAGGGAGGGCTCTCCTGTCTTTTGTTTGATGGAAGAATAGATGACACAAAAGTTTTGCTAGAAGTAGAGGGAGTGAACAGAAAGTTTCCAGGTCTCATCAAAGAAGAACACTACTCTGTCTGTTCTGAGCCTGGTGGTCGGTTTTTGTTTCACTTTGCTCCCGAAACTGAAGTAGAAGGGAAGAAACATGCAGAGGTCATTGCTGATCATATTTTATGTTGGGTTCAGGAGAGAGGACTTGGCAGTTCACTGCAGGCTGTTGGTGGAGATTCAACTGCAGTGAACACCGGATGGCAGGGGGGTGTAATGACGCATTTAGAGAAAAAACTAGGAAGAAGACTTGTTTGGATTGTATGTGATTTACATACAGGCGAGCTACCTCTTCGTCATCTCATCCAGGAACTTGATGGTCCTACAAAGAGCAACAACAAGTGGTCAGGTCCCCTTGGCATCATGCTGGATGAAGCAACACAACTAGAAATAAATACAACCTTTCCAAAGGTCGAAGTTGGCCCTCCCCTTCCGGCGTTGTCTGAAGGAGTCATCAAAGATCTCAGCACAGATCAATCCTATGCTTATCGTATTGCCCAAGCAATAAGATCAGGAGAAGTGCCTCAGTCATTGGCTCTCTTGGAGATTGGACCTGTCAGTCACAGCCGTTGGTTAACTACAGCTCTTCGTTTCTGCAGGATTTGGATTTCCAAACATGAATTGAAGGGCAAAGTGCTGAAGAATTTGAGGTTAATTGTTGAATTTATTGTTGGAGTTTATCTTCCCCAGTGGTTTAGTGTGAAACTTAATCCTATGTGGGTGGATGGGCCCAATCACCTTTTGTTTCAATTGCAGCTAGTAAGAACACAGAGGAAGGTAGTGAGGGACATCGTGTTACCTGTGGCAAGAAGGTCCGCTTGGTATGCTCGATCAGAAGCAGTTTTGCAAGCAATGCTTTGCAGTCAATGTACCAATCTCCGAACCGAGGCTGTAGAAGTCATTCTAAAGATTAGAGGAACGCTAATAGATGACGACCAGTTGGGAGACTGTTCGTTTCATTCAAGAAAAGTTCCCCCAATAAACGTCAATGCCACCAAATTGTCAGAATTGGTTGACTTGAGTTTGGAAGTCTTAGAGCCACCATTGACAACAAGTCTAACTAGCCAAGAATTGAGAAACCTTAAAGAGACTCCAATGCAGGTGCCGAAGTGGCCTTCCCACACTCAAAGTGTGGAGAGATGTGTGAAAATGGTCACAGAAGCAGCGGGCCATGTTTACAGCCACGAGAGGCGAGAAGGTTACATCAAAGCACAAATAGCAAGCAGACTACTGATGACAAGAAACCAAAGCAAAGAGAGTATGAAGGCATTGGTTACTTTCAAATAGACTACGGATAATAAAATATAATAATTTGAAACTTGAAACAGTAACATGTGTGCAAACGCTGGTTATGTTATAAATTCACAAATATGTACATTTAAAAATCCATTTGATGTAGGTAGGACTTATTATAAAAAAAAATTTATGCCAGAATATTGTTTTGCATGCTTAAAGACTACAATAAATTGCTACCAAATTACTCGATTTTCAATTTAGCCAGTTCACCCCCTAAATTGACACACCCTACTGTCCATATCAAATTTCTGGTTCTGGGATTGTCCCAGTTGCAATTGGGGTTGCAATTTCAAATTCTGTGTCACTACTAAGAAATAACAAAGTCCCTGGTGCACTCTAAGATTAAGAGAAAACGGACTCCTATGACGGGGCACTCAAATAAAGTAGACATGGCTACATGTTTTGTGGACTAGCCACTGTACAGTATCCTTTTCATCACTTTGTAATAAACGTCGTGATGCCTGTGTTTCTGATAATTATCATAACATTATATATTTATATATTTAGCGGTTGTACAAACACAAGGCCTCACACATGCCATTCAGACTGACAGACTTGACAAGTTTTACCAACCATAAAGACAGTTGAAGCTTTAAACATCACTCACAATGACTCTTGAATATTCCAACTGTAATCAGACATACCTAAGTTGCCTCAACAATTGCAACCCCAGTTGCAATATCAAAATCTGTCACTACTAAGATATAACAGTCTCTGGTGCACTCTAAGATTAAGAGAAAACGGACGACTCAGGAGTGCTGAAGTGAGAGAAAACGGACTCCTATGACGGGGCACTCAAATAAACATACACGTAACTGTATAATGCAATATTAACCCCTAAATCGGTTAATTCGGACAATCGGCTAAAACGGACACCCTTGCCCCCCTATTAGTCCATTTTAACGAGGGTCGACTGTAATTAAACAGACTTACAAGGTGTCTAGTGGCCAGACAAAACAAAATTCCTTGGTTTTTCTCAGTTTTCCAGGTGTAAATATGATAAATTCCAGGTACATTAATTCGGTATTTATTATGACAGAATAACAAACTTAAGAGGTTTTCAATAATATGTACTGTATATACTACTGGGAAATTTAAAGATGATATAAATGATATTAATCAAGAAACTGAAGACCCTTATGCAGACCCACCCCAAGCCTAGTGATGAACATCAGCAAAGACCTTGACACCCCTCACCCTTCCATACTGTTCTTCTTGGATTTGCGCGATTCTCGTGGGTCGAAATAGACATTTCCAAAAAAGCCAGAAATCCAGCAAAAAACGAAAAATCACACTCCTGATCCACCTTTCCGACTCATGTTTAATATGTGGAATAATCCCCTTAAATCCTCACTTAATTATAAAAACATTTCATCTCTGACAATATTCATTGCAGAATTAGTAGGAATACCCTGTAATACAGTCAATCCTCACATTACGCGGTCCCGCATTCCGCGTTTCACCGTTAACGCGGTGCCTTGCCAGAACCTAACATGCTCACATTCCGCGGTCGTGAACCCCATTACGCGGAGAGCGGCTGGCAAGCTGCACCATTTTTGGATCCAAACCTCCCGCCATCCGCCATGTTGTGTAAGAGGCGCGAAAATGGTGCGCACAAGGTCGCCCAGTCATCAAAACATTACCGAGTTCTTTACCCGCCACCCACCACAACCGGCCCAAGTCAGTGATAGTGATAATTATAGTGAGGATATGGACTTATATGGACTTTGAGGGGTTTAACAAAGAGGCCCTGCAAGCCTCTGTGGTGGATAGTGATACAATTGATACCAGTGATACAGGTGAGGGCCAATAATCTGCCCTCTGCCTCGGAACCAACCCCCCCATCCCCGTGTGCCCAGCCATCTTTTCTACTAATGTAAGTGTTAAAAAACCTAATATTATTGATATTTCTCTTAATTATTAATTGTGTGTGCATGCCATCATAAAGTTAAGATAATATTTTTACTACAACATAGTTGTGTGTCATCAAAAAGTGGAGTTTGGGGATTGGCCTGGACTCCATTTCAATTAATCCCATATGTTATGTTGTTCACTTTACGCGTTCCTCACTTTCCGCGGTACCCTCCGGGTTACATTAACCGCGTAATGTGAGACCCAACTGTATTTGGTTATTTGATCGCTAACATGAAATATGATAGTTACACAAATAATTCAGTATTGGAGTGGACTATTTACTGGAATTTGTTCCTAGAAGTTTAATTATTTACCTATTAGGTTGTCAATCCCTTATCAGAAATCCTTGGGGCCAGATGCATTTCAGATTTCGGATTTTAGAATGGTTAGATGATTTTTTTTTTTTTTTTACAGGGATCAGCCCACCCAGGCACAGGTTACTGACCCATATTGGGAGCTGGGGGGCTAAATATAGTAATAATAATAATAATAATAATAATTCATAGGTCTAGGTTATGTTTCTCACTTTTGATCTTTTTTCACTCTTGTATTTCTTTATTATTATTATTACTATTATTACCTATATTATTGTTTTTATTATTTTATTTTTGTATTTTTTATTATAAATTTTATTTACTATGAATAATAATAATAATTATTATTATTATTATTATTATTATTATTATTATTCCATTTTTGCCCCCCAGGCCCCGATGTGGGTCAGTAACCTGTGCCCGGGAATGCTAATCCCTGTTTATAAAAATAAATAAAAAAAGGTCTTGCTCCACAAAAAAAAAAACTTTCGGTTTTCGGAATTTCGGATAAGGGGTTGTAAACCTGCTATATAGTACTTCATTATTTCATGCTAAGATTGCTCTGTATTTTGAAGTTGAACTCAATTCACATAAAATTCCAGGTTTATTTGTAAAAATTCTCTGGCTTTTCCAGGTTTTCCAGACCAGTAAACACTGACTTATTTATATCATAAATACTCCTGATTTCATTTAAATTTATTGGCATTAACAAGTGTTGACAAACTGGACGACAAGATCAGCCCTTCAGCTTATTCAACTTGAAGCTTAAACAACAAATGTTGCCTGGGAGTGGGGCTGAGTTACTTTAGGTTAAGTGAGTATCAGGTGAGTGTTATTTTAGCTTAGTGTGAGGTTGGCATTTGGGTGTTTAATCATCCAGAGAAAAAGCTGGGCTAATCTTCATGTGATCTAGTTTGTCGACACTTGTTAACCCTATGTAAAACTTATTAACCTCAAAAAAATTACAGGTAGAACACAGTGCACATGTCTAAATCTACTAAGACAAGAGAATAAACTTATGAATTGTTCACTAAGTAAAATAAATCTAATGTGTTCTGTCTACATGTTTTTGAAGTCATAAATTTTTTAAACGAGTCAGATGATTTATGGACATCCTATATACAGTAATTAGCTCATGATTTTTAGTTCCATAATAATTATTAATCAGCAAACTTAGATACTAATAAAAACACTGAAGCAACTGTACATCGTGTATACTAACGTGGGTGAGTCTTGGTAGTGACCAGCTTCGTTAGGAGAGAGAGTGCCTGATCGTGCTGACCCTGACCCACTGCCTGATAAAGACATTTGATCACCTGCAAGTAAAAACAAAAACATATGTATTGTTTTCCTTTTGTAAAGTAAGTAGGTAGTAGGTAGAAGGCATCTACAAAAACAGGGAGGCACTACCACCTGGGAAGATATTGGAACCATAATGTGTTGTCTAATGGTAGACCCTGCTGCCATATGGCATCACGAAAATTGTGACCAAGTCCCAGATTGCTGATCTATCTTTCTGCCTCATTTACACACAATTGCAGGGTCTCAACTGTTTCTCTTACATGACAACACAACATACATATAGCATTTCTCACTGTTGGGTTTTTTCATTTTTGTTTTTCTTTGTATTTATTATTATTATTATCATAGTGTTATTATTATTATCATTATTTTATTTTACTTTTTATTAAATTTTTTATTTACTATGAATTATTATTATCAATACATTTTCGCCCCCCCCCCACCCCCCAGGCCCCGATGTGGGTCAGTGACCTGTGCCCGGGTGGACTAATCCCTGTAAAAAAAAGTCACTAACAATGTATTGTTGAAATTCTACATTTAATAATTTACTGAAAGAATGAAGGACTGAAGCATAAAATCCTGTGATTGATCAGTTACAATTATTGTACAGTATGCCCAGACAATTCACGAAGTTTTATTTTGCAGTCCACTATTATTCGCAGATGACACCCTGGATGTACCCAAGAATTTCTGTGGATAGTTTTAAAGTTGCCGGTATTTTCGCAGCCAGTACGGGGAGCGCGCAAGATTTGTGGCGTCCCGCAAGGTGTCTCTCTTGTCCCAGGGGGGCTGGCCCATACACGCCCCGCTCCCTCACCTCAGTCCGGGCTAAACATTAATAATAATAATAATAATAATAATAATAATAATAATAATAATAATAATAATAATAATTAACGGTTTATTGAAAAAATTCTGCAGCCCAAAGGCTGAAAATATACATTGGACATAAATGACTTATTACATACATTGGTGGTTTAACAAAAGCCTTCATTAGAGAAAGGTAAAGGAACATGCAGTGAACATACAGATTAATGTAGGTGTTGAACAGCAAACTCGTAGTGTAGTAACTCCCTCCCAGATGGTGTTAGGAGGAACTCATGTGGTGTAGTAGTTGGTCAAGGATGTACGTCTCGCATGTGTGCTGCTCTCCTCTCATATCAACTGTGCTCCTCGTGCTTGTTATGGCTCCCAAACGCCCTCAACAACCAACATCATCATCATCATTCATCATTTTTATCATGATATTCATCAGTGGTAGAGGAGAGGAAAACGGGATCTACACAATCAGCCAGCATGTAATGGTGAGTGTTATTCTATTTCTTTATAACAGTTGTGTTTTATTATGTTATCGTAGGAAAATGAATGGTTTATATAATTTGTTTATCACTGAGCCCATACCACTTTCATAGTAGACTAAAAAAATATGTTTTTCTCCCATACGAATACCTGGCTATGCCTGGCATCTCCCATATGTACTGTACGTCTGGCTACGCCTGGCAACGGGAGCGGGTAAGGGGAGTGAATGACTGCTAGTTAGCGCATCGTCTGCAGTTTTAACTCTCCTCGCTCCATGCCATATTTCACTGAATTTACCATTAGTAATAGTGCTTACGGATAGAATAGTCCTTAACAGTGATTAATCATGTCATTGTAGCTAGGTTAGCTCATCATTGTAACCAACAAGCTACTGGACCAAGCTTTGAGGTGGTGGTGGTGTTGTTTTTTTCATCGTATTTTTGGATAGATACAGTTGAGTCTGGATTTACGCGGTTTTGGTTTACGCGTTTGGTCATTTACGCGGTACCTTGCCAGAATTGAGATGCTTTATTTACGCGGTATATTTGGTCATTTACGCGGAGAGCATCTGGCGGTCCAGCCGCGCCGCGCCATTTTGGATTCAAACCTCCCGCCATGCCTGGCTACAAGGGGAGGGAAGCGGCGCGTGGAGGGGTGCGCAGTTTGTCGATGTTGCTTTATCGGTGACATCATATGACATATCGGACTGTGATTGGGCCACGCATCCTTACCTCCCTCCCCCGCTAGCTGTGATTGGTTCAATGTAATATGACATGCCCTGCCACCACAGAGAAGAAGCCGCGTCAGTCGCTCTCCTCCCAGTCACTCTGTGTAAACTGTGTTTTATTGTTCCCGCTAATCTCGTAAGAATGGCATCCACTGGACCCCCACCACCACAGAAAAACCTTGCATTACCTGGACCCAGCCGCTCCAAGCCAAAGAAGATACGATGTGCCCTAAGTTACGAAGTTAAGTACAAGATTGTGCAGGAGTTGGAAAAAGGTACGAGGCAAGTTGACCTTACGCGCCAGCATGGCGTTAACGAGTCTACGATTCGCACCATCAAGAAGGATGCCGTCAAGATAAAAGAACATATGAACATCACAAAGTCCGCAGGTGCTTCAATGGTGAAGTACTGCCAGAACAAGGTGCTGCTCAAGACGGAGAATTTACTTGTGAGCTACTTGATTTGTCAGGCAAGACGGAACATGGCAGTGAGCACGCGGTCAGTTCAGGACTATGCACGTGAACTGTACGTAGCAGTGGGATGTAAGATGGGAATTGCAGAGCCCAAACCCTTCAATGCTTCCTCTGGGTGGCGGCAAGGGTTTAAGAAGAGGAACAAGATCACCAATATTAACAGTGGTGGTGAAGGAGCGAGTGCTGACCATGTTGCGGCTAGTGATTTTCCTCCATTCTTATGTGACATTATGGAGGAAGGACAGTACACTGACGACCAGGTGTTCAACATGGATGAATACGGTCTGTTTTGGAAAAAGCTACCTACCAAGACCTTCGTTGTCAAGACTGCCAGCAAGTGTCGGGGAAGGAAGTTGCAGAAGGAGTGCATCACAGTCCTGTTCACCACCAATGCCTCTGGTACCTGTAAACTCAAGTTATCAGTGATCCACACAGCACGCAAGCTGCACGCCTACAAGAACATGGACATGACCAAGCTAAATGTCCACTGGTTAACCGCACTTAAGGCGTGGATGTTCTCTGCTCTATCCCTCTCCTGGTTTGACGACTATTTCGTTCCCGACGTCAAGAAATTCTGCGAGCAACAGAATGTTCCATTCAACATTTTGCTGCTCCTTGACAACGCACCAGGACACCCGCTCCTACTGTTGGATCGTCACTCCAACGTAAAAGTGGTCTTCCTTCCTCCCAACACTACATCATTAATCCAGCCCATGGACCAGGAGTTGATATGCAACATTAAGGTTGCATTCTCTACAAAGAAGTTTAAGCTCCTGAACGACTGTACCAACACCAAGGATGAGTTGCGTCACCTGGGTGACACAGACAGTGATAGCCAGAGCGACGACGAGAAACAAGAGTTGGCGGATCAAGAAGTTCGCGTCAAACAGTTTTAGAAGAAATTTAACGTAAAAAAAGCTGTTGATTTCTTGGTGGAGGCACGGGAACAGCTGTCTGTGGCAACGATTCGTCACGCATGGCGGCATGTGTTGCAAGGTATCCCAGGTGGGAGGCAGAGTCAACCTGTGACTGGTGAGGTTCAGTCTGTTGCAGTGGCAGTGGACCTTGCAAGAGAAGCTGAGCAGAGAGTTACAGCTGCAGGCTTCTCCGAGACCACCAACGACGACATTATGGAGGTGATCAGGGATCCTGAGGTGACTGCCAACGAGATGTTAGAAGACGATCACGTCAGTGAAGAGGCAGGTGGTGCGTCATCCTTAGAAGAACAAAAGTTAACGCATGGTAATGTTAAGGATGCCATCGAGTTTGCAGAGAAACTCAAGCTCGTCATTTCCAACAACCCTGACGATAACCGCTATGAAGTCTTCAATAACCAGCTGTTGCAGACTATGGAGCCGTACATCAAGGTGTATCACGACAACATCAACACTAGCTATCAGCGTAACATCACGGACTTCTTCGCCGCAACCCACCACAGCCAGCCCAAGCCAGTGATAGTGACAGTGACGATATGGACTTTGAGGGATTTGTCAGGGAGGCCCTGACAACTGTGGTGGATAGTGACGGTGATTCACCTGAGGGCTAGTAATCTGCCCTCTGCCTCGGAACCAGCCCCATCAACATATGCCGACCCATCTCTTCTACTAACTTAAGTGTTAAACCTAACCTAACCTTACGTAAGTGTTAAACCTTGATTTTTTCTAACCTAACCTAACCTTATGTAAGTGTTAAACCTCGATTTTTTTCTAACCTAACCTAACCTGACGTAAGTGTTATACTGTACCTTGATTTTTCTTTTACCTGGTGCAGTATATTATTCTCTTATTGATATTTCACTTCTATATTATGTGTGTGCATACCATCATAAAGTTAAGATACTATTTTTACTACAACATAGGTATTGTGTCGCAAAAAGTGGAGTTTGGGGGTCGGCCCAATCTCTATTTCAATTAATCCCATATGTTCTGTTATTTCATTTACCCGTTTCTCGTTTTACGCAGTACTCCACGGGTTCAATTGACCGCGTAAATGAAGAACCAACTGTATAAATAACCTTCTTTATTTATTTTTACTCATTTACATGCACACACCATCCTACAAATATACAGTAAAAGTCCAAAAATCCAGATGCCAGAAATCCGGACCACCCGAGAATCCGGACTTTTAGGAAATTAATTTTTTTTTTTTTTTTTAGCGGGCTTTTGTGTATGTGCGCATGTGTGAGTGCCACAGCTGCACAGCGACAACAAGCAACCATGCGGTCGCCACTTTAAAAAGAGCAATCAAACTGTGACAATGTATGTAATTTTGAGTCCTACTCTTTTCATTTACAGAGTACTGTACTGTACAAGCCCATAATAATGGCTCCTAAAGTAGATAAACTTTGTTGTGTGAAGAGAAAGAAGAACACGTTGAAACTGAGTGACAAACTTGAAATAATTAAGAAACTAGAACATGGTGTGAGCAATACTGTACTAATGGAAACATACAACATTGGAAAGTCTACAGTTTATGATATAAAAGAGGCAAAGAATAAAATTCTAGAATTCACAGC